AAACAAGGAGAACATCAGAGAAGCTCACTGTTCAATCTGGACCTTATGGAGGAACGAAGTTTAGGATGACACAACTGGAAATGGTGAGAAGAGGATTAAAGAGAAGATAAAAGAGCAGAAGATGACTACCAAACATATGGAAATGAGTGCAGAGTGAAATGGAAAGAAGGAGGCACAGAAATTCCAAATCTTACTTTACTGTAGAAAATGTATAAAAACAGATCGAGCTCCACATTTTCAGTTAAGAAGAGAAGTGGAAAATAAAAGCTTTCAGGCTTCATTGCATAGAGGGTAATGAGATTGTTCTCCACCCTGTAAGTGCCATAGGATAATGCCAAAAGATGATCACCACAGAAACAATAATGACATGCAGTATCTACATAAAGACAGGTGCTGTGGGTCAGAAATACGGAATATTATGACAGTATCACCTGCACATAAAGATTTGTTGAACTTGGTTGAACTACAAACCTTTTTGAGGTTCAGATTCTTGAGTATAAGTACTAATGTGTTTTCCTGGCAGAAAACTGACCCAAAGGACAAAGGGTAAATGTTGATAATTTGACAGTTAGTTTGACAGTAGTCCAAGCTAATACTTAGCTATCCATGGCCTCTGAGAAAGAATTGCTATTTTTTCATTAAAGTAGGATCAGAACAAAATTCGTAATTTCCTTGTATTCGCTGGTAGCCACTTTCTCTGATTAGTGGGTTAACAGAAATCTAAGTGTAAATGTTCTGTCAGCATGTTGCATATTGTCTGGGATTGATTTATGGATAATCAAAATACTTGATTTAAAAATTTACTTAATTCTTTTTTCTTTTAAATACTATTAAAAGTGTTTCAAATGTTGCCTTTTTATAGTATTTTTAATTCTACAATAGGATTACAGTTCTGTAAGTAAGAACTTCTGCAATAAGCAGTAAATAAGGAAAAATGGTTAGGAAAGGCCTCAAGGTACGATTAAACTAGATTAAAATTATTAATATTTTAATATTGCTAACTATCACTAGATGGGCAGTTAATTGTTTTGCCAGCATAGTCAAGTTTACTCATCAGTATGTTGCTTTTCACAAGCATTATAAGCAAAATATTAAAATTTGGAAGGCTTGGATTCCTGTCAGATACTAATTTCTTCAGAAACTCTTAATCAAACCCCTAACAGAATTAAAACCAAATAAATTATTTTATTATTTCTATTTTGTTACGCCAGTGAGAACATTGACCAGGCTGTCTAACTGCTTTGACCTGTCAATAAGCTATGCACAAAGAAGTTTTCACCTGGACTTTGGGTAAAAGAAGAGAGTCACACAATCTTCACAGCCTTAAGTAAACAAGAAGTCTTAAAGTGAAGTTTGGGTGGTTAGGAATAATTAGGATAACCCTGGAACTATTTAATTGAGTGACAGTGTCATCTTTCTGCAAGCCAGGAAATGTGAGTGATGGAATTTTTAGAGATATAATAACCAAAAGGCAATACAGGAAGATACTTCTTCTCTAACCTTTACTGATTCTTCAGTTATTTTGATTAGGACTAGATCATAAGAGTTATTTAAAGTCTCCAGTGTGTGCTATATTTTAGTTTACGAAGGAGTTGAAAAAAAAAACACCACCACCAATGTGCTAGCAGAATTCTAGTTAGAAAGCTGCACTATGATTTGTGTTGTTACAGTACACACAAGGATACTGTGGATTAGTAGAACATGATATAAAGGCTGTGCTAGCACAAATGCAATATTTTCTCTATGAGCTAGTGAGCTATATGGCAAATTGAAAAAATTATGAAAGTGTCCCAAATTATGCAGTACAAAAAGTCGCTACACTACACTATCAACTCTATGCTAAGCTATCAATCATTATCTAATATTAACATTATCTAACATTAGAACAGTATTAATCAGAAATTTTGAAGAGTTGAACTCTTTATAGATGACTGGAAATAACTGCATGAAAACCAGAATGAGGAATAAAAGATGAAGAGACAGTAACAGTACAGATTGGAAAGAGCAGGACAGAAGGGATCTCGGCTTGGGATACAGATAAAAAATGCCTTTATATTTCTCTCTAAAGCCCAGGGCAGGAGTCAGATCTGCTGACACTCACTCCTCTTTTGCTGTCAGCAAATATCTATGAAATGCATTAGCAACATTCCCCACCTCCTTCTGGTGCCCACCTATTCAGAGTGCTACACCTTTCACCGCTGTGTTCTATCACAGTACTTCAGGTGATCTATACAGCAGACACCAAAAGCCTCAAGATGCCAATAGGATCCCACACTATGGACTTTCTGCTTCTTTTCAGCTTGCTCTTTCTAAAAGCAAAGAAATTACTCTCCCAAACCTTTCACACAAAAATGTAACAAATGTAAATGAAGTACTTCACAGTTAAAAATTTTCAAATCAAAGTTGATTATGTAGCTTTGGTTTAGCTGCTTTGTGCCCATATGCATTATCATTTACACGATCACATCTCCTCCCCTCTTAGGCAGAGAACAAGAGCAGAAATGAGAGCTGTATAAAGGATGCTATCATCCATATGACTCCTACATCCCCGCTTTTGAATATATGCCTTTGTACCAACTTTGGTATGATGGCTTAGTAGCAGAGAACAATAAGAATATTAATGTGATGGAGACAGGGGATGGGCTGATGAGACAAGGAGCTTGAAACATGGAGAAATGTAGAAAGAAAATGAAAAAGGAAATAAGACAGAGTGACTGGATCGAGTGGAAGGTGGGACTGTAAGAAGATTTTTGTGGGAGAGAAAGTAACTGCTGTTCTGGATCACCAGACTATTCTGCTTTCTCTGTACAGCTCATTCCTTTTCACAAATGGTGGACCATTCATTGTGTAGAATTGCCTAATTCCCACAGCTCCAACAGAATTCACTGGGAAGTTGGCCTTGAATACATATAGTTCCCTGTAGAGTGAAGAGCTAGGTGAGTCCTGTAAGTATCAAATCGAGCAATTAAAATGATATGGTTAAATTTTCTTGCTTTAAACTAGTGTTAATATCAACCCTGACTTATTTCAGTGTATAATTGTAGGTGAAAATAAATTAATTCCAAGTGAAAATAAATGAATCCCCTTATTACCAAGATATATTAATAAGGAAACACTCAGGTGTGGTATTAGTGACACATATGTGAGTGAATTAGTTGTCATATCCTGAAAGTACAGATTGAGAAAAGTGCAGTGAAGAACAAACGGGGCCACACATGGGATAATGAGGAAAACAAAGGAAATCCATTAGTTGCTTAAGAAGTTTTTACTGTCTGCCCAGTGCAACGTACTATTTGTTATCCAACGGAAAAATAAGTGATCAGAAAATGAAGATTTGCCTTGTAATGAAGACGCAAAAGAGATCCAAGTTAAGTTAGCCTGTCTAAAATTCTATCACTTTCTAAAATTTGTACTACTTCAACAGTGTTTTAATGTGTGCTCTAGGTACTGTGATAATAACACTTAAGTAAATAGGAATTATAGGTTAGCTAAACCTGTATCTGTAATTTTAAGTATGACTTAATCTTGTTTTCTTTGCTTTCAAAATAGGTAGAGAAAATGGCAGAGAAAGGAGTGGGAATCAAGTTCAAGAGATCTTTTATTCTCTCTGGTCTACATAAAGTAGGCTTGACTGTAGATATTTGAGAAAAGTAGAGGAATGGGATCATCCCGTAACACTTTCCCAACTTAACTAAACTTCATAAAGGGTTAAAGCAGCAAAGTATGTACTTAAAGTATTATGCCGGCTGCCCCAACACTCTGGTCTATGTAGCAGCTTTATCTATGTAATTGCAGTTCCCTGATCATCCATAACACATCTCAAGCAAAAAGTCAGGCCAAAATCTGAGTTTCTCTGGGGTTATTTACCCACATTCTGCTTATGTATATATATATAAAAACATATATGTTCAGTGACCTCACTTACAGCCTTTCCTTTTGCATATCACATTGTCTTCTAGCAAAAGATAGCAATATGATCTGAACTGACACTTCAAAAAAGTAACTTTAACTTTAGACTAGAGGGGTAATACATGTGAATTCTGTACCTCTTCCTTGCACTTAGTGACTAGATTAAATAGTCTAGAGAGATATCTAACTTCAGAAGGTTTCTCATGCTTGCTTTCTTATCTTTCCCACAAGTTAAAGTTTGTTTTTTCATCAAAGTACTGAACTGAAGAAATCCTAGTTAAGGCAATAATGTATGGTAAAGAGAGAATAATGCTTAGCATAGTACCATAAGCTACCATTCATATTTTTCCTACTCATTTTTTTTCTTGCTACTTATGAAAATCTTTCCATGTTAACCATACTACCATTTCAGGAATACCACTAACTCGTAGCACTAACAAACCCTACAGTTCTTCAACATACAGAATTCCAATCAAGCACATGGTGCCGGAAGACAGATCGAATCTGTCTCACAATTCTTTAATTCTCAAGGCTCACAACTGTCATTTCAAAGAACTGAAAGAAAATTGTGAGGAATGCATTTTAAGTAGGAGAATAACTAAGTTGACACTAAGAAACAGTCAAATGAGAAAATGCATTAAGCTATTAACAGTGATACAAACCTGGGGAAGATTATGTAAGCATTAGGAAGAAACAGACTGTTTCCTCTCCCCTCTAGTCTAACTGAGAAATATCATTTCACTAGTTATGTAGTCAGAAGTATTTCATCAGTCTAATCTCATAAGAATTCTCTGTTCTAACTAGCACATTCAAATGTTCAGAAAAGAACTGGAGTTCAGACATCTAGACGAATTTCACCACTATCACTTAATGAATACTCAAAAGAAAACACTACGTCAACAGATTTACGTATAGACCCAGCCTACATGGAATTTCTAGAGAATTCACACACTTCTCAAGCACCGATCAACCACCTCTGCAGCATCTAGCAGCTCTCCAGATAGACTGCAATTCTAATTTCTGATGTAACTATACACTGTTTGTGGTAAAATAAATATTTATAAGGAAAATATTTGTTCTTTATATCTTACTTGAGTTCTTGTGAGCTTGTGGCCAGCATACTTCGAATGCTTTTGTCAGCCAAGGGACATCCAGACAAACTGCAAGACATGGTAGGACAGACAAGTAAATTAATCTTCTCATTAACTGAACGTTCCCAACAAACACAACATAAAAATTAAAAAGTAAAAGTTTTTAATGCAGAAAAGCGATGGGGCAAGTGCTGTAATATTGAATTTTGTAATATAGTTAACCCTCTGAATATATTTAGATATCAACATTACTTCCAAAATTACATACTGTAAATGTTCTTTTTTTTGTTTCTCTATAAACTAGTAAAATGTAACAAAAATATTTGTGGTTCCTGGGTTAACTACTTAAATGCTTAGAATGCTTTGGAAATTTTAGTAATCTATTTAAAAATAAAAGACGCTTATACAACACACAAATTAGCATGCTTTTAAGATCAACATATACTACTCAAAGGGTTAACACATAGTTCAACGTTTTACTTTGACAGCATTGTTGAGGTAAGCTGAAAACAATAAATTGAAAAGACAGAATCCACCATGAAAAAAATGAAGTCACACCTTCTATGTGAGGCGTAATTACCAGTCACATGACCACTCCCATCACACCCTGGTGTTGGACATCTGCCACCAAACAAAAACAAAAACAGCCAAAATAGTAAGTATGTTTAAAAAAAAAGCTTTTAAAAGTTTCATTGTTTCCAGTTTAGCTGCAATGACTGCAAGGGGTTTTAAGCATCCTAATTGAAAAGCTGCAAAATGAACAGGATTAAATGAAAATGGCGTCTCAATACAATATAGCATCATTAAGAACAAGCAAATACACATTAGCTTATCACTTTACTTAACTGGCAGTTTGAAACATTTATATGCTGCAAATGTTGCATGCTCATACTGCAAGGCGTATATGTACTTGTTTGTTTAAAAAAGACAAGGGAGAAAAGGTTAAAAGGAGAAAAATAATTTCACCTCACATTATGCTTACGTTATTAAATCCTTTTTGCTCTCTTTGCATTGAGGGTATTTGGGTTTAGGACTTGGGATTGTAACTTCACCAGGATACCTTCTTTCTTCGAGTGCCTCTTGGAAAGGATCCAAATCTTCTGGCTACAGGCAAATAAATGAGCATTAGTCTCAGCTAGGTGAGGTCACAACTTTCATAAAATATTACAAATTAGAGTCATCAGAGATTATCTCTTTTTTTATCCTACTTAATCGAAGAAAAACCATGCAATTATTTCATATTCTTTCACCTACCAAACTTTTAAACAGTCCTTGCATACTCTGATGCAGTCTTTGAAGTGTGTGGGAAATAATTAGGCTATTTAATTAAAGAAAAAAAAAAAAAAAAGCAAAGCATCAATTTTTATATCTGATGTATTATTTTCATTTAAGATAAATAGTTTATACTTTTTCTGAAGACACTGCAAAACTGAGGAATAGGAATAAAGAATAAATGTAGCATCTGGTTCATCAAAGAGCCATCTTAATAACTTTAATAGTTTAGAACACACCAAAGATGAAATAGGAACAAATGTAACAACTGGAAGTTTGGGGCAAACCTCAATGGATCTGTCTTGAAAAATGTAATCATATAATTTAAAATTAACATTACTGATGTACTCAGTAATTCAAAACCATCTATTTCAGGAACAAAGTGGTTAAATGCATCGATTTAGAGATTCCTGCAGATGGTGCTACAAACACCACAGCAGAAATGTATCATGATGTTTGCACTGAGAAATACTTCATATTGTATTTTTCACCTCATATTTCATTGATAAAGATAGATTTTCCTAATTCCAGTGAAATTAATAACAGAACTGTGACTAATACCAGAGATAGAATGTATGCAGTACACAGTGGAAATGCTACTTTGTTATATGTGTCAAAGGCTTAAAACTTAGTTTTAAGTTTTAATTAAAATAGGCCTGAAATCTATCACACACAAATTATTAGCCTAATTTTAATAGTTTACACCAAGGAAAAACAAAGAACAGTGTACTGAAGTCTCCAAACATCTATTACATATTGAATGTAGCATTGTAAGCTATACAGTGGATAAGAGTTGAAAACTGACAAACAAAATCAGTGGCATTAAAACTTGTCAGCAGGTTTATTTCAGTGTCTTGGCTCACACAAGAACACATCCTACATGATCTAAGTATTGAAACATAAATTCACTAGCTTATTGTGTTTATTTGCCTTTTCTGTTTAAAGGGTCTTGCTGTTATCTTAGTATTCTGAATTGGAAAGTAATACCAATTTCAAATATCCCTTCTTTGTATAATTCTTTAAACAAAGTACTTCATTAATACAAGCACTTTCACACACAGAGCTAACAGGAGTACATAAGTAATCTAGAAGAAGATTAGCTGAAATAGTTGAAAGCTTACATTACATTCTGATGGTTTTGTTTAAATTGATTTCTAAGCAATACATACTTTCAAACATTCAGCACATCATTTATGGTTTTCAGATTCAGTGGGATATCTGATCTTGAGAGCCGATTATCCCAGTATTGCACAGTTCTGTCAACTTGCTTATATAGAATATCATAATCTGGATAAAGTGAAACATCTTTTCAGCAGAAAATATTTGTTAAAAAGATGATATTGTTAGAAAACATGATTCAAATTCCTGGTTCAAATGTTGTCTTATGGAACTTAGTCACAGATCAGATGTGTGTCAGCATGATGTATTTCTAAAGATTAACCAGCAGAAGTTGTTTGGTAGAAAACCACCATTTTAACACCTATTGTTTCCTCTTTCCCCCCAGATACCAGAAATATAATGGATTACAAAAAGTAGACTGAATGAGAACGATTAAATGAAAAAGACATACATTAATCTCTTTGGAATCATCTTCATCTATCCTACTGGGCTTCATTTTTGTGTAGTCCACTGGTAAGTCCCAGCAATCACCCTCATTCAGTTGATAACAGCGGTTGTTCATCACAGCTTGTCGTTGCGGTGACATTGGCTCCAGTGGTGTCAAAATGGTACAGCAACCATCTCGCTGCCTCTGCTTGTTCATACTCAGGTCTAAGGTCCCATTTTCATCGACTTCCATATCAGGATTCTGTCAAAAGAAGAAAAATATTGTTAATTTAGCCTCACACTATCAAACTGCTGCCTCTCTGTGTTCTTCAGTATATTTGATTGCCTAGCAGAATAATAAAATGTATTTCCATTCCTGTATAGATTGAAAGCATTGAGCCCCCTCCCACACATAGCATGATGCTATTACACAACATTAATGCTATTCTAGTAGATTTCTTCCTGAATGGCTAAATCTGATGTTTAGGGGGACAGGACAAGAGCCTTCATTATGCTCTCCCACCACCCAGAAAAACAGGTGCAAAAAAAAAAAACAGGTGAAAATGAGAAATCTCTGAAGATATTTTCTTGTTGTTGTCTTTATCTTTTTGGTTTGCTCTGTGACAGGTGAATACCTCTGAGTTAATATCTGCATAATTCTTGTTTAAAGTCCTGACACCTGACCAGGTGATTAGAGTGGAAAAAAAGTAGCTAGCATCAAATAAATTTGTTTCTTTGTGTCTTCAGCATTAACAGTTGGTTTGTAATAGATGCTGTCAAGGAATTAAAAATAAACAGAGGGCACCAAAATAAGTCTTTTGGACAATATTAGGCAACGTTACAGGAACAGGAAATGCCTTTAAATTTCACTGTTCCTTCACTGCAGATATAAGAGTATTAGCGTTTTGTATTCTGCCTTTATAATGAATAAATTTATATAATGCAATAGTTGTGACAAGTTCTGTGGCAACTGAGGTACTGCGAAATACAGAAATACACAAGAAATTTGGTTTCAAAACTGGTGTGAATGCTACTGACTCCTTGTATGTCTAGAGATTCCTCTAGTAACAAAAGAGCTGCAGGAAAGCATTGTGAATGCAAATCCCTTTTTGATCAATTACTGCCTTTTCTCATAACATAAATACAATTGATATTACCCTTCTAGTTTCATTTAGAAAATATTCGTGAATTCTCTTGGAGTCATTCATCCAGGTTTTAGATAGGGCGAAACATTAGGATAGAGGCACCTTCTGTCTTTAACATATAGGAAAAAAGGTATTTTATTCCAACTTTTTACACTGTTTTGATACAGAATACAACTGTATTTTTTACATTCCAGAAGGAGATTTACCTCTTCAATATTACTAAAGAACATCAATGTAAAAAGCAGCATCTGAAAACAGTCACCAACCATTTCAGATTAAATTGGGTTCTATCTGCTGCTAAGGGTTTAGTTTCCTAAGAAATTTCTAGAGGCTTTTACATGGAAAATAAAGAAACCTCTGTCTAAATGAAGAAGAAAAGAACATGTCTGCCAGCTCAAAATCTCTCCTATAAGCACAATAAAAATCTTCCCACTGCACTGCATCTGTCTACTCAGCCATCTAGTGGTCTCCCATAGGTATCACTGTACTGCTTGTTGATGTATATTAAATACTAATCTTTTAATAGCTATCAGAGTCAAAAAGTAATGTTTAAAATCAAAAAAACAAATATTTTGCTAAATATTTACTGAATGCTAATAGCATACTGTTTTTCTTAGTACATAAAGCTTAACAACATTTATTATTTGTCTCCACAGTCATTTCATAACATACTGAAACTATGAACATGCAGAACATCAGTGACGCTGCACCTGCTAAGCACCTTTGAAATCACATGTACTGGAGGATTTACTGTTTGTTTCAAATGCTTAATGCAGTGACTTAAGAACTGTGATACCATACACAGGCAAGAAATCCTAACATACAAGCAGCATAGATTTCTTTTTAATAGATCTTACAACCTGAGGTCTCATATACAACTTTTAAATGAAATTATATCATTAAATCTTGATCTTCTCACAAAATGGATGAATCAGATAGTGTTTAACAAAAAATCTGTAGTGCAATTAATACCATTTGAGCAATTCAAACATCTTTTATAATTACAGATCTCACCAGTAAGAGACAAATTAAAAAACGAGGGAGTACATGCTATCATGCTTTCGGATTATATACCGATCGGGTTTTCCCAAGATATTTGAGAGCAATTTCCTTTTTTTTTTTTTTTTTCTGCTTTAGCAGAAACATAAGATTATGTTAATTTTGAGTAAAAGAAAAAAAAAAAAAACCAAAAAAACCACTCTTCTTTCTATCAGAGGCACAAAGCTAGTGCAGTAAAGACGAATCTTCATCAACATACAGAATTACTGATTTTTACCCTTGCACAGAGATCCTGAGGCTTAGTGGAGAGGTTCTGAGGCATCTCCCTGCAGCGGGTGGAGAGATTCAGAATTGCAGTAGCAGCCATGTGTGCTGCCTCCATGTCATGAGTGTAGTCAAAGCTGCTCTTGCTGCAGGTGCTGCTGGCACTGCTGCCTCCACCACAACTCATATTGCTGCTGCTGCTAGGGGCATAACTGCTTGTTGTGCTGCTGGTTGGACTTGAATTCTTACAGTAACGTTTAGCTGTGGGAAGAAATATGACAAGTATGACTCAAACGAACTAGCATTCTGCATAAGTGAAGAGAAAAACAAACTGCTGGAGGTGAAATTTATAATGAGCAACAGTAACCAATACAAAAAAAAAAAAAAAAAAAAAAGCAATAAGAATGATGGCTGTATTTCTTGATTTCTGCCTGTGATTTTTATATGGTAAATATATGAGTTTGTATGAAATAATCCCCCATACAAATCTGTATGATGTGATCATGAATTCTTCTGACAAACAGGCTGGATTTAGAAAACAATAAAAACTCAAAGAAACACTGCTTTTACCCATATACAGAATCAGACAAAAGGTAGAATCTGCTCAGTTTGTTCAGTTTTACTAAAGAGGGGCAACATAACATTATAAAATCTTTAATAGCTACATGAGCAAGTGTACTATTAAGGTCTAGACTCCCGAGGGCTACTGGACATCAAGCACGCTGAAAGGGCTTGGGTTTCTGGACCAAAGTGCTAACCATATATTCTTAACACTTCACACTTCCTAAAAGGATTTTTCTTCCTATACACACTAGGAGACTGGCCATCAGGAAGGAGAGGAAGACAAGAACATGATGAAAGAAGAAATAAAGTGGCCACATGTAAGTTATTCCACGGATCTCACAAAGGCAAAAGCAGTAGCTGCATAAATGGAAACAATCTTAAGTGAATCACCCCCAGCTTCAAACATCCAAGTGCTTACAATTCTTTATAAAAACAGTAAGGGCCAAAGATGCTCATTACTGCTCATACTGAGACACAGAGCACTGTATTCTGACTGGCAGAAACCACTAACACACTGATAAAGCTCACTTCCATTCTATTTAAATACAATGTAGAACTGCTGCACTGCATTAAAACATGCTCCTTACAGCCAAATGTATTATAATAATAATGCAAAACAGTCCTATTAGCCCACTTATTTCTCCAATCCTTCCCCCAAATAAATTATTTAAAAGCACTTCTATAAAATGCAAGAAGGTGTCAGCTAGTCTCCAAAATCTGAAAGTTTACATATTCTCACATAAAAGTCAAGGTCATAGGATACATAAATGGGTATTACCGTGACTATTTCCCCTTAAGATGGAAATGTATACTGCAGAGATCATACCGTATAGCACAGTATAACAATAACAAACTAGCATGCTGATTAGAGAGCTATACAAAAAAGGTCAGACTCTAGCTAGAGCTCTTCTGTGATGGGTTCCATTTAAATGCCAGACTCTTCAGGTGCATTTGTCTGAGCAGACGTACATATAATAATCTGCTCCCATGAGCATAGCCCATTTGTGAACCATAGGCTGCTGTGCTAGGCAGGTAGTATTCAAAAGAAGAATCAGAAAGCAAAATATCTCTGCTAGAGCTTATGTCATCTCTCTTCTTCAAAAAAATGAAAAAATCACTGTGCTATTTTTACTGTAAAGGAAATAGTGTTTCACTTAATGCATAACAGATGGAAAGCCACATAATGCACAGGGTGTGATTTTTTTAAGCGAAGCTAATGCTGAACATTCATCACTTTTCTTTGTTTTAAACACATAGTAGCACTACTTTTGCAGGGTATCCACTACTAATAAACCTGCGAACAATTTCTCCAGAGTTTCATTATTAATACAGTAGTCAGTGGCAGTCATTAAAAATTCAGCATTTATCCATTCTTATTTTGTAATGCCATCCAATACACACAAGAATTTTTCTATATTTAAGGAAGGAAACAATTGAATAATTCAGTTTCTCCTGTGTTAACACAGCAAGCACCCTGTACAGCTAAGCATGTCAAATTAGAAATATCTTTCAAAATTTATACGAACAAATAAGGCTTATGTTACTTGCAAAAGAATGCTAGTCTTCTCACAGGAGGTCACATTTGAATGAACATAAGAGACATACTACATGTGAAATCATATATGTAACAATGTGTGTTAAAGGGGGGAAATAGGCAGCTTTATACACAGGACTAACCATCAGAAACTCATGCAGGCTCTGATATGGACTCCTCTGTGGCCTTGGTCAAGCTATATTATCCCTTGAATTCATTTTCCCTATAAATAGAAAATTCCTTCTAAAATTTAGTTGTGTTGTGATTCACTTGCAAAACACTTTGAAGGCTTAAAGTGCTATATGCATGCTACACAGTTCTTAGCTTTTAGATAACCAATGATTTAAGCAAAACTTGGAGAGAAATGGCCATGGTTATTTTAAATTAACTGTAAGTGCACATTTTAAAACAAGTCATATAGCCCAGACTGCTCGCCCCATGTTAGCTTTTCAGGAGAAACAAAGATCACCAATTTATAATGAATTAAATCAAGTCCATTGCTAAGGAAGGGGAAGCTACACTGTTTCACTATCACAATTCTGCTTGCTGCATAGCCCAACTCTGTGACACCAGATTCTGGAGCTCTCCAGTCCACCTATGCTTTATGATCCAGCAGTGAAACCAAAGATGGATGTGATAATATCTATTATTATTCCATTAATAATAGATACAAGTCTAATCCACTGTATTTCTAGCATACTGGCTGTCTACCAAGCATGTCTAGGGGCTAATTACAGAGAATGTCTCTAAGTCTACATTCTCCTCTCTCTAATTAACAACAGAGGAGTGGGAGATATCTCAACAACTTAAAGGGGCAAACTCTGATATTCTGAATGGAACTTAACTACTCAGAGAACCCCATCCCCAGTATTGCCTGAATATATATATACTGAACTTATTAAGGACATTAATTACAGTTTCAATGATTTTTATTACTCGCACAGTGAGATTAATCTCACCTTGTTTCAGGTAACTGATCTAGTCACTATAAGCTTTCTCTATTAGCAATAGAAAAAATTAGAACTTCTGAGCAATGATGCACCTAGTTTAAATGTGTACTTCAGGAGAGATGAACGGCATCAAAGAAGCATCTATCTTTCTCTATGGATCTGAAAATGATTAGTTTAGATATAGGTGGTATACATAATAGAATTCTAGATATGGTCAGACGAATCCCACCCTAACATTTTTTCTCAGTGTTTTGACAGAAGGTCCCACCATTATTGGTGGGGTGAGAGGAGTTTCTGTCATCATCTGAGAAACTGGGAGGGCTGCTATCTCCTCTGCATGCTGAGTCTAGCTGTTTTTTATGTTGGCTGCTATATACCAGTAACCCAATAAACCCCAAGATGTGAACAACCATGAAACTGAAACTGGTATAAAAGATAAGGCAAATACACAAACACAACCAGGGCTTATTCTTCAGGAGTTATTGGAGCATTCTATCTCACAATACAAAGTATCCATTTTTGTTTGTTTGTTGTTAAAGATTACTGAAAAAAAATCAAGAAAACAACACAAAGGATGTATTTATGCTCATGTCACTTGCAGCCATACACTTCTAGAACATACACCTTTTCTCTGTTGATGAAAATACAATGCTTGCTTACAGTTAAAAATAAGACTGAAACATGAAGTCATTGATTTTTCATGTCCCTAAACTGTTTGTCACCTCTTACATGGTCAGAAAAAATAGACTGCTGCTTAGATGCAAGTTCCCCAGAAAATTCAGGCTTTCTTTCAGTATTTTCAAGATGAAAATACTTTTCAAAACATAATTTGCTCTTACATAAATGTGTATGTGCCGACACACACACATAAGAAGTGCACACACAGTACCTCCATAGCGGTCTTGACACAATTAATCAATAATTTATTTTACATACAGCTATGAAATCACTTAGAAATGATGCAAAATTTCTTGAGGAAAAGTGTCTCTTTTAAGTTAAGAGACTCTTCCTGAAATTGCCTTCATATTCAACTATTTCCAATAGCTGTCAACAAAATGTTTGTCCTGCTGAATGTCAGTGTCAGGATTTTGCTTATTCTTTAACTGATTTTCCTGAGGAACTCTGAAGCCATTTGTCCATTTAAGACAAACATGATGGAGTGATTATGTAATATCAAAGATCTATGGATTCTAAAGGTTTTGTGAATATCACTGATTGATCACAAACAAAAACTCAAATGATGCTTGGGATCAAGTCAGCATATCTGCCTGGTCAAACAACACACACATCACATGCAGCTACAGCGCGTGCCACCTCCTGCAGAGTATGCAGTATGGAGTAAATCCGTTGGAAATTTGCCTTCATTTGTCAAACAACCTGCTCCAGCTGTAATGAGCAACAGTTTTCTCAGTACACAAGAATAATGTATACTTGCTGTACTAGCATGAATCATGTATATTTTGTATCCCTCTGTCCCCTGTGACTTAGATAACCGAGCAGTGAAACAAGCTTGTCCCAGTCCAAAAAGATTCCGGAAGTAAAATTCTAATCCATATCAAAGGAAGGTGAGAATGTAGAAAGATAGGTATATCACTCAAATATTTCATCATTTAAGATCACTGTTGAACTGGTGTTTAATGCTACCTGTATAAATTCTGATGATTTGGAAAAAAGTACCCTTTCTATCTCTTTGCTGAAATATTCTATTTCTTTGCTGAAGGGTCTTAAATGAGAAAAAATATGCATTACTTGCTCAAACATCAGTAATTCAATCCATACATATGCATATTCACAGGTTCCCTATTAACACACTGTTTCTTGTCCTTTGCAAGAGTAGACAGAAGATATATGCAACAGTTTTTCTTATATCATTAACTTACTAACCACAGTTACAGTTAGTGCATTACCTTTAGTAATGCTCAAGCCCTTAATCTGACACAGGCAAATGTGATGAGTGTACAAGAGAAGAAAAACAGACACTTTTACTCAAAAATAAGTTGCCTTTCATACCTCTCCTCCTTTCTGCTGCAGTGGAAAAATATGCCTGTTGATTCTAAAGAAAACAAAATATCCAAAAGGTGGGAGCTGCATCAATTTTCCCTTTTTCCACTTGCCTATTTTTGAATGTCAGAGTCCGTGCTCAGACAATGTTATATTTTATTTTATTTAGTGTATTTATTTCTGTTTTCCTAACCAAAAATCTGGCATCTACTTGAAATTTCCTACAGTAGTAAGCAAATAGCATCAAATATTTTAACCAACCAACCAACCAAAAAAAAAAAAAAAAAAAAAAAAAAAAAAA